AATGGAAATCCACAAGTTCTTGTAGTCATTTGTAAGACAACTGCTGTTCATTAAATCATTCTGAATTTTGTCCATCCTTTCCTTATCTGTTCAAAGATCCTAGAGATATTACTTAACCTTCTTCATTAAATGTTACTGTGTTTCCCAACTCATAATAGAGTATTGTCTGATCAGGAACTAGGTATTATGCTTTTTAGAGGGGTTTTGTTTGGTTGGTTCGTTTTGTTTTTCTGTTACCTTTCTGTTCTGTGATGGACAGTATCATTGCCATTGTTCCCTTGAAACCCATCTTCTCATTCTGTTTATTATTTCAAATTACAGGGGTCTCCTAAGATGTTACATGTGTCCACTATGTTCATGATCCAAATATCACTTTTATCAGCAACTGTGCAGATTAAATGAATTAATCCGTATAGAGTTCTTAGAACTGTGCCTGGCATTGAATAAGAGTTTATTACATGGTATAGATTATTGTTTCTGTGTTTCATGTGTGGTTTCTTTGCTCATGTGTGTTCCCACTGCTACATTCTAAGGAGTAAGGGGAAGTGCAATAGACCAATTGGTTGGACCTAAGGAGAAGAAGAAACCATCGTGCAGAAAGATTATAGTAACTTCAAAGTCTAGTTTTGGAAAATCCTTTTAAATCTAACCAGTGCACAGTGGAAAACCCCTAAAGAACCAATCTCATTATTCCATTAAATGGAACCGTTATGCTGACTTTTACTACAGAAGGCAAGCATAATTTAGAAAATGGGGCATTTTAATTCTCTTTTGTTTTTCAATTAACACAATTGCTCTAATGGGGGGGGTATTTGTGCTTCAGTACTGTATGTTCTCTGAGTATGTATTCTGTACATAATTTTACTCCCTTTCTCTCGTTTTCTTTCTTTCTCTCATTATGCAATAACATTGTCACCTGTTGACATGACAGTTCATTTATAACAATGCTCAGCCTGCCCAGATTACATCCTCAGAGCAAATGTCTTTCAGCCATCGTGGCTGACAGGGTCAGCGCAAGCCCACCGTGCAGCTGTACTTTCCCTGCTGGGCTTAATTAGGATGTTGAAGAAACGTAGCTCTCACTTTTTTGCTGATGTCAGCTCACCAAAGCGGACCACATAAGTTTACTCTTAGTTGAAAGTGGTAAAGAAAATGCCAAGCACGTTCATTTTAATTGGTCCGCATTATTTGGGCTTTTAGTGCCACTGTTTTATCATTCTGTTTTAGATATTTTCTGCCACTAGTAGTCAGCTTATTATTGCTGCAGATACTCTTATTTGCATCAAATTATTTTACTATTAAAGAAGCCATGGTAGTATAGTGGGCTCCAAGTTGGATGCTAACTTCTAGGTCAGCAGTTTGAAACTACCAGCCACTCTGTGGGAGAAAGATGAGGCTTTCTGCTCCTGTCAAGATTTACAGCCTCAGAAACCTATACAGGGTCACTATGAGTTGGAACTGACTCCTCATCACACACCCACCACCACCACTACCATCTGACTATTACTCGATTATTATTTGAAAAGCTTTGGCCTCTTCTGTTCATTATTACCTTATTTAGGTGGTTATTGTACTTACCCTAATCATTACTAAGTTCTAAATCAAAGACTGACCTTTCAAAATTGGTGGGGACTTATTTTTTCACCAGATGGTCTTAGACTGGGATATGGCAGTTTTTGGGTTTTTTTTTTCTTAAATTCTTGCTTTGTTGCTGATGTTTCTGAGCTAAAAATATAGGTCCTACTGTTAGTGTGTGTTGTGGTAGTAATGTTGGTGAGGATGCTGGCACAAGAGCATTTTAATTATAATGAGACATGTTTTCTGTGGCATTGGTTGAACTGATTTCCCTCTGAATTCTGGAAAATGTGTAATTCGTTACTCTAAAAGGATCCCTGTTGGCACTATTGGATAAACACTGTATTGCTAGCTGCAAGGTTGGAGGTTCAAACCTACCGAATTCTCTGTGGGAAAAAGATCAGGCTGTCTGCTCTCATAAAGGTTTACAATCTCAGAAGCCCTATGTTGTTAAATACCGTCAAGACAGATCCGACTCATAGCCACCCTGTATAGGGTTTCCAGGGAACAGCTGGTGAGTTTGAACCACCAACCTTGCAGCTCAAACTGACTTTGTGGTCCTGTGGATTATCCCACAGCACCATACTAAGTTTACACAGCTCGATACAGAGGCGCTGTGAGGTGGAATGGATTCAGTAACAGTGGGTTGGGTTTGGCTTAACTTGAAAAAAATCACTACACTAGGAGGAGAGGATGGTGAGTGGAACATGTGTTTCTTAAAAAGTGAGCTCACCATTCTAAAATGTCTTAGGAGGGTTCTGGAAGGTCGGCACTGATCTGAGGATAGGAAATATGGTATTTGTCTTTGGAGTTGACTTAATGCTATTTTAATGGAGACAGTCACAGCTGTCACTGGTGTATGGGGTAAGCAGTGGCTGAAGTACTTCCCTGGGACCTCATGCTCCCCACCTCTTTCCATGAAGGTGTTCTCAGAGAGGTGTGTGCTAACAGCTAAGGTGGACTTTTCTGACACCGTCCTGCCTAGATTGCTTTCTTTAGTCTGATTGAAAAAGTTCATAACTAAATATTATATGGAAAATTATTGTATGCAAAGAGATAATGTTGTAGAAAGAGTTATGAAGATTAAGAGTAAGCTTAATTAACTTGAAGTTTGTTGTTGTTTTTAATGAGTGGGACTGTTGTTAAGTGCCGTGGAATCGTTTCAATTCATAGGGACCCTATGTAGGGTTTCTGAGCCTTTTAGATCTTATGCGAGAGCAGAAAGCCTCATCTTTCTTCTGCGGAGTGGTTGGTGGGCTTGAAGCACTGACCTTGGAGTTCGCAGTCCAGTGCTTATCCTATGGAGACACCATGTTCCCCAGTGAATGGGGGTGTTAGTGATTGGTGCTTATGCACTTATGCACCCTGGGGTCAGTTCTAGTTCATAGCAACTTTGTATAGAGTTTCCAAGGCTGTAAATGCTTGTGGGAGCAGAAAGCCTCATCTTTCAAAGTGGTGGATGGATTTGAACTGCTGGCCCTGCAGTTAGCAGGCAAACTTGTAAGCCACTATACTACAAGAGCTCCTTAATGAGTGGGACTAGATAGGGATAAAAGAGAATTTGAAATTCTTCACAGCAACTGAAAAATCTTGACCTTATGGATAAAGAAAACCCCCAGACATTAGAAAGTCTATGCAAAACCAGAAGATTAACAATCCAGTTATATGAATAGAAAGTGATTAAATTTCATAATTTAAGAATCAGTTTTATCTTTACTTTGGAGATTTTTATTATTTAATTTTTTTTTTTGTCTAAGACTCAAAATAAGAAAAAAAATTTTTTTTCAGTTGTTTCTAAGGTTACAGAGACAAGGTTGTCTGAAATGAGCACCAATTATTTCCCTGTAGCAGTCTAATTATAGGCTGATGATAATAATGGCTGTTGTTTATTGGATACTTGGTGAAAGCCAGAGGTGGACAAACTATCAACTACAGACAAATTCAGACATCATCTATTTTTATAAATAAAGATTTATTGGAACCCAGCTATGCTCAACTATTGACATTGTACTTATAAGTGCTTTCAAGTTACAACGGCATAGTCGAGTAGCTGCAACAGAAATTATATGGCTAAAATACTTACTGTCTAAGTCCTGGTGTGGCACTGTGGGTTAATGCAGTGGATTGCAAGCTTGGTTTGAACCCAAGTTGGTGGTTCAATCTCACCCGCTGCTCCTCAGGAACCCTGTACAGGGTCACTATGAGTCAGAACCGACTCAATGGCATAACAACAACCCTTTCTAGAAAAAGTCTGCTTGATACAAAGCAAGTACTCTTCTTTACATACATTTTGCCATTTAATCCTTACAATATCCCTAGGAAGTCTGTAAGGAGCCCTGGCAGTGTAGTGGGTTATGAGTTTGGCTGCTAATTGCATGGTCATCAGTTCGAATGCACCGGCCATTCTGCTCCCGTGAAGATCTACAGCCTTGGAAACCCTATGTAGGGTTGCTAAGAGTTGAGCTGACTTGACAGCACTGCCACCACCAGGGGGTCAGTATCTTACCAGCCTTCTTTTATAGATGGTGTAACTAAGGCTTCATGGCTCAAACTTGCCCAAGGATACATCTAAATGTAAGAGTGTGGACTTGAACCTGTGAGGTCAGATTGTTGAGCACACACATTCTTCCTGGGTTCTTTCTTTGTCATGGCCCTTCAGAACGGTGACAGGTTCTGATGGTGTGCAGCTTTCTGGACTCAGGCTGCTTGGATTTTAATGACCTTGGCAAATAAATGACATAGCTTCTTTGTGTCTGTAGTGTAAACAGTAGCAGATATTACTGTTACTAACCTCCATGTTCTATAGATGAGATTCTAAATGATTCCAAAATTTCCAGCTAAGACTGAATTTACACCTATTGCATAACTCCAGTGCAATGTATTGTTGTGGTTAGCTGCTTTTTAGTTGGCCCCTGACTCATGGTGACCCCACACACATGGAACAAAACACTGCAGTGGATAATAGTAATATGGTCCATCAGTAGGGTGTTCACTGTCTTAGTCTGGAAGCTCCCCAACACCATAGCAACACACAGTCCTCTGCTTGCAGAAGGGTAGCAGCTGCACAGAAGTGCGTTGCCCAGGCATCTAACTAGGTCTCTGCCATGGAAAGCAAGGATTCTCATCCCCATATCCAAACAGTTAATTCAGTTCTGACTGACAGAGATCCTACTGTAAAAAAAAAAAAAAAAGATTCCAAGACTGTAAATCTCTACAGGAGCAAACAACCTCATCTTTCTCCCCCTAAGCAACTAGTGGATTTGAACCACCAACCTAGAAATTCACAGCCTAATGCTTATCCCATAGTGCCACCAGGGCTCCTTCATGCTAAATAGACAGTACATGTTTCAATCAGTAGGTTGGTGGGTTTTGAAAAGGAAAATTGAGTATCAGATATTCATTTTTATTTATTTTTGAATTATTAGGTCCTACATAGACAGCCATCTCAGCCAGCTAAGGAGAGTTCTCCTGCCAGAGAAGAAACGCCTGCTCCGCCTCCTCCAACTGAAGACAGTTGTGCCAAAAAGCCCAGGTCTCGCACAAAAATCTCCTTAGAAGCCCTGGGAATCCTCCAAAGCTTTATTCATGATGTGGGCCTGTACCCCGACCAGGAAGCCATCCACACTCTTTCAGCCCAGCTGGATCTTCCCAAGCACACCATCATCAAGTTCTTCCAGAACCAGCGATACCACGTGAAGCATCATGGGAAACTCAAGGAGCACCTGGGCTCTGCCGTGGATGTGGCCGAGTATAAGGACGAGGAGCTGCTGACAGAGTCTGAGGAGAATGATAGCGAGGAAGGCTCCGAGGAGATGTACAAAGTGGAGGCCGAGGAGGAAAACGCTGACAAAAGCAAGGTCACGTCTGCCGAAATCGACCAGAGATAATGTGAATTCCAACCAAGCAAAGCAATACATCGGTCCAAGGATTTTCTGCTTTAGTTCTTTTCTTTCTTTTTAAAGATTCTTTTTTGTTTGGATTTATTTTATTTTTGCCTTTTTTGGTCTGTCTTGTTTTCTTTAGCCTTTTTGACATTTCGTTGTTGCACAGGATGTACCTATAGATGGAGTAAGTTCAGTGTTTCCGTATCAGACATCGCCTTGGCAAAGACAATAAAGTGTTACACTTTCACAATGGACTGGGTCATAGTAATTAGAATCACAGGAGACTCTGCCTTCATTATCCTTGCACTACACAAGAGATACCAGGCAAGTTTCAGGATGAAAAGACCTACGAAATCAATGAAGGAAGCTACAAGTGTGTATATGTATATGTATATATCTATATATTTACATATATATATTAAAATTGCATGGGACAGAGAACTTTACAATCTGAAAGAATAGACTGTGAAATGAGCTCTTAAAGGAAAGACTTGTTTATGTATTAAATCAAAACAAAACAAACCACTTCACAGTGAATCGCTTTGGCTTTTTGATAAACTGCGGCCTGCTCTCAGGATGGGGTGACTATTTTTTAATTCCTATTTATTTTCTGTGTTTGTCCCTGATTTTTTTTTTTTTTTAATGCCTTCCTACCTGGCAGCTTGATGGGTAGTTTTTGAGGTATGTATTTAACAAAATAAATCAACACTGCCAAAAAAAAAAAAAAGAGAGAGAGAAAAAGAGAAAGAAAGAATACAGTGGAAATCATCAGGGCACCTAAAAATGATCCAAGTCAAATTACTCTTAAAGATGCAATGCATTACAATAACTTGCTATGCTCCACTGTTCAGCCTGTCATTACTGCAGTGAACAGACATATTTCTGTGGAATTCCAATAAATGACTAAAACTGAAGTTCCATGCAGAGAAAATATGTCCATTAATGCAGCCTTGAGAAGATGGCATTTTGATGTTGGGCACACGGGATTCATAGGCTGAGCCACATTTTGTAGTGAAGTGTATTTACCTGATCGTGGCTTCAAATCTGAAAATTTATAAGCCTGCTCATTTAAGTTGTTTGCTTTTGCTGGGGTTTTTTTGTTTTGTTTTGTTTTTTTATTCATTTTGTTTGTTTTAATAAAAAATAGTTCAGTGTACTGTTAGTAAAGAAGTTGCTGCCCAGTTTTAGAGACTCCCTGTCAATTAATTCTCTGTTCTGCCCTCTCCCAAAAGATGTTTCTCATTTGTGTTTCATTCTGAGCGCCTCTGCTTCATTCACATTCCACTCATGAAACCCAAACTTTTTCAGTACCTGATCTCACAAGCCTCCATCCCTTAGGTAGGGATGGCCACCCTAACTAGACCTGTTTTTGAATCATTGTGCAGCCCTAGCAATAGAGTAAGCAAAGCAATTTCAGTGGACTCACCTAGCTCATCATAAACGGAAACACTTCCATAGCAATTACCTACGTAAAGCAGAACTGATGTCGAGTGAGTGGAATGAGCATTACAACTGCAATCTTCTATAGTTTTCCAACCCCATTTTTAGCTTCCTGTCAGAACCACCAAGGAGCCCTGGTAGCATAGTGGGTTACACGTTGGGCTGCTAACCCCAAGGTCAGTAGTTTGAATCCACCAGCCATTCTGTGGGAGAAAGATGAGGTGTACAACCTTGGAAATGCTATACAGGGTCGCTATGAGTCAGAACCGACTCATTGGTATATTCAGCAGCATCAGAACACTAGTAGCATTACTTTCTACTGCAAGAGGAGACTTCTCCCTTTCAGGACTGGCCTTGTGCTCCCAATCCATGCTTCAGCGTGGCCAGCAGACAGTCCTGCGTGGTTGGATATTGGTTTCTTTCTTTCTTTTTTTTTTTTTTTTTTTTTTGAGTTGTGCTCTCATGCAACCTTGTCAAAGACCTCATGCAATATCACTTTGAAAGTTATTTTCTGTTTACTACACAATCATTGTAATATAACTGTTAATACTATTTATATATTTGAAAGGTATAAAAGGTAGGAGTTAAAACAAGCAAACAAAAACAAAACCTCTATGTGTAGATATTAACTCAGAACTTACACTATACAGGGAGAAGACATGTTGCAATACAAGCTGATTCTAGCTGCTCAGTAACCTCTGGAGTTTTTAAAGGGACATTTTCCTGTACTTTTTCAAATACAGATGTTTAAAAAATTATCTTGACATGAGCGTCCTATACCTTTGCGAAAGGATGTGGGTTTGCAGTTGAGACCCGGACCCCTCCTTCTCTTTTCTGTAGTATGCTGCAGCTTTCATCAGAAAGTCCAAGGAGCTGCTTCCTGATCTCCGAGTTACTTTACCAAGTTGTCTTCTTACACTGTTGCTCAAGGTCACTCTGTACATGTAATGGAAACTGATTTTGCCAAGCTCTTACGAGGTGGTTCATCTTTCGATGGCATCCACATTTGGTATCTTTTACACTTCAACCAAAAATTTATTAGGTATTTTTCAATGCTAAGTCTTGCCTTTTATTTTTTAATTTCACTGCCAAGTTTGCAGTGGTTCTAAGTGAATCTGTGGGCATTTTAGCCTGTGGTCTTGCCAGATCTTTGCGAATTACAATGCATATATGTCTATTTATTCAATATCTGTCATATAATATCTATTTGGAAGAAGAAACTTTCTCTTGTAGTGCCTCTTGACAAAGCACAATTTTCCGCCTTTTTTTTTTTTTTTTTTTTTTTTTGTGAAATGAAAAAAAAAAATTGTGTTTTATTGCGGTATCAACAATGTGAATACGGATTAACATATTGTAAATGTTCTTTTTTCCATGTAAATCAACTATCTTTGTTATCACTAAGTGATAATTAATTTTTAACTTATGTGCATTGTTAGGCTGTTAGAATTTTTTGGTTGTTAAAATAAAATGCATTCAATAAGTATCACTTTGTTTGTCAAGTATTTTACTGGGCATTACCTTTTTTCCTGTATAATTTTTCATGTAGAGTGAAACCCGTGAGTCAAGGGAAATCCATTGTCTTATTTTGGAACTCAGATGGTGGTACCAGCAATCACAGATCCTGGAGTTTTGTCTGATGTATGGATTTAGTTGTAATGTGAACACATGAGCATCTCTGGGCATTTGTAAAACATGCACGTATATATTCTGGAGCTGGGGACTTGAAGAGCCATTTCTCCAATGGTTTGGCCAAATACAAACAAAACTCAAATGTATAAAGATATATTTATGGACTTGCTTCTTTATTTCTGCAGTGAATATTTTCTGTTTATAATTAAAAAACCACAAATGACTGCGTGTCATGAAACTTTTGGAACACATATGTCCATGGTTAATGGACATAATAAAAGTCTTTTATATTTAGAGCCAGGGTACCATAATGTGTGCATAGAGGAATGCCAGAAGGATTGATGTATCTGAGAAATGTGTGAAAATGATTTTTTAGAAAGTGCTTACAATGGAAAAAATTGCTCAAAAGACTAAAGTTAACAAGGAAGGAGCAAGTGCTTAGCTTCAGAGCTGGCAAAGAGAAAGTAAATTAAAACGTGATTTTCTTTTGATATTGTAAATGGACCTTATTTCTGTTTTTATTTCTTTTTTTTTTTTTTTCATTTGGTTGAAGTAAAAATACAACCTTTCTTTCCTTTCTCCCTTAGCCTTTTTCTCATGATTGTTAACAGCTTATCAACTACATTGTTGTTGTTGTTAAGTGCTGTCAAGTCAACTGCATAGATAGGGTTTAAAGACAATTGTGGCAATTAGGCATTTGTAGAAAGGTTGCTTAAGTGCCACTGGGTGGGTTGGTGGGTGGGTTGGACCTATTGCCATTCTGTATTATTGTTAAGTGCCCTCGTCTAGTCGGTTCCGACTCATAGCGACCCTGAGGGTTTCTGAGGCTGGGTTTCTGAGGCTGTAAATCTTTACGGGAGCAAACAGCCTCATCTTTCTCCCATGGCTTTATGGGAGCAGAAAGCCTAATCTTTCTCTCGCAGAACATCTGGTAGTTTCGAACTGCTGAAGTTGCGGTTCACAGCCCAATTCATAACCACTGTGCTACCAGAGCTCCTGTATAGGGTTTCCAAAAAGTGACTGGTGAGCTTAAACCACTGACCTTGCAGTTCAAACCAACTTTGAAGTCCAAGACATTAACCCACTAGGCGACTCCAAAGCACACAATACAAAAGATTTTTAAAGAGAAAATAGGGGCTCAATGTAAGTTGAAACATATTATTTGTGCAAATGAAGATGTATTCTGTTTTGGGGATACAGAAAGCATTTGTGAGACCATCGGATTTTTAGTGCAAGGAGTTTCCACGTGTATGAGGGTGTTTTTTCAGGAGTTAACTTCCCCGGAAGTCTAGTTGTTTTTAGGTACTGCCAAGTCTGTACCTATGCACAACAGAACCAGACACTGCCCAGTCGTGCACCAATTTCATAATTGTTGCCACACTTGAGCCCATTGCTGCTGCCACTGTGTCAGTCTATCTCCTTTGGGGTCTTCCTCTTTTTCACTGACCCTCCACTTTACCAAGGAAATTGTCCTTCTCCAAGGACTGGCCCCTCCTGACAATATGTCTACAAAGTATAAAAGATGGAAGTCTGGCCATCCTGGCTTCTAAGATGTATTCTGGCTGTACCTCTTCCAACACAGATTTGCTTGTTCTTCTGACAGCCAAGAGGCACCAAACTCAAAATGTGGAAGATTCTGCTGCCTATGCTGGAGACTTCTGTTTTCAACAAAGCTAAGTAAGAAGTTTCTCAAATAGAAACTCTTGGTATCGCAAGCCATTATTTATGGGTTGAGTTTTGCCTTTTTTTTTTTCTAGAAGAAATTGTTATTTCTTTCTGAAGCACTCTAAACAATGAGTAAAAATTCCCCTTATTCTTTCTAAAGTGCAGTCATGACATTATTGTTGTTAAGTGCCATCAAGTCAGTTCCGACCCATGGCAACCCTGTATAGGGTTTCCAAGGAACAACTAGTATGCTTGAACTGCCGACATTGCAGTTCAAATGACTTTGCAGTCCGGGACATTAACCCACAGCGACACACCAGGACTCTAGTCATGGCATAACCAGATAGAAAACATTTAATATACATGTAATCTAGGCCTGGTAATTTGCTAGGAACTGACTTGACCTGGAAAAAAAATGATTTAGCTGTCTCCCCTCAGAGAGCTTCTAACTTATGGGAAAAATACAACATAAACCCAGGAAGAGTGAAATAGGCATAGAAGGGTTGTGTCTAGACAGACATTCATTTAATGAGTGCTATTGAACAGCTGTGTATTTAGAAAAAGAAATAATTGTGAGATTTGTCAATGGATTGAGAAGGGGGATC